GGATAACAGCCGTGACAGCTAAGTGGAATCCTGGATCTCTATTTTTTTATTTATTATTTTTCTTTTTTTTTTCAGCTGCGCTCCATCTTCCGGGCTGCTCTCTTTAGGGCATGAGGATACTCGTTATACCATGGTGTCAGACAGTTTTCCTTACTCTTCTTAAAAGTAAAGGAGGGACCATGTCTAAAGTGCTAAAAAAGAGAGAGTTCATAATTTATGTTACACCATCACGTTTTTCTGAACTACTGGATACGCTGAGAAATTCAGACAAATATGGAAAATGATTTGTCTTTTGGTGTAGAAGCGATGGTTCTACCATATTTGTAACAAGAAGTTGAATTTGCAGCTTTAGTTATATGGAGTATACACAATATTAGATAATGCTATGATATATCATCACTCTGCTGCATAATTTCAATGCCATCAACATTAAATCCATCCAATCCATGTGATAGTATTAAATCTAAAGTATGATTTTGACAATGAGTATGTCCTGACATGTGTTGTCTAACCCCAATAGAGTTTATATAAATGCTGATCCCAATGCATCTTTTTCATTATCTACATGTATATTAAAATCACCAACAATTATGACTTTATCTGCAGCCAACACTAACTCAGATAGAAAATCAGCAAATTATTTGATAAAGTGTGTATAGTGCCTTGGTGGCCTCTATACAGTAGCCAGTACAAACATCAGTAGGGATTTAGCATTAACACTTATTACACTAATGTTATATAAAGCACCATTACTTCAAATTAATTATACTTGAATCCAGACCTCCGAAAAATACTGACATTATGGCTATAAGTTGTAGCAACACCTACCCCTTTACATTTTGGACGTGGCTCATGTTTATTACAGTAATCTTGGGGGGTAGACTCCTTTAAAGTAATGTAATCACCTGGTTTTAGCCAGGTTTCTGTCAAACAGAGCACATCTAGGTTATGATCTGTGATCATATCATTTACAAAAAGCACTTTGAAAGGGATCTAATATTCAATAAGCCAAGCTTTATCATTTGTTTATCTGTATTATACCAGTTTTTTTAAGTGTTAAACATCAATTAAATTCTTAGCCTTCATTTTTTTATTTTTTATTTTTTTGCTAGTTTGAGGAACAGACACTATCTCTATAGTGAAAATTAACTGATTTCTATGACATGAGGTGGCTAGCAGTTGCTCGGTTTAGCCAGTCTGTCTGCTTCCTGACCTGGGCCCCAGTTAGTCAAGTACAAACTCCAAGACTATGTGCCATATTTCTAGAGAGAAGAGCGGCACGACCCCTGGATAGATGAAGACCATCTCTTTTCAACAGGTCAGGTCTGCCCCCAAAACTCTTCCAATTGTCTATGAAACCTATGTTATTCTGCGGGAACCACTTAGACATCCAGCCATTGAGTGACAATAGTATGCTATGTATCTCATCACCACATAAGCAGAGAGGGAACCAGAGCATATTACAGTGTCTAACTATAATAGTATGATTTTACATCGTACTTGTAAGTTCACACACCTCTAGTGACCTCCGACTGGCAAAGTCAAATATCATCAGTGCCGACTTGAACAACAATCTTACTGAATTTATGTTTAGCATTTCACTCAAAAACTTCACAATTAATTGCAAAGAAATAGCAGGTAATACACTGGATTAAACATGACATTTTAAAGTAGAAAGAATTAAATAGTATTTTCTTCTTCTAAAACATTTTCTTATTCTTAAAATATTTTCCTTCTCTAAAACATACTCTAATTATTTACAACTTTGAAAAAAAAAGTTTCAAACAGTGTATGAAACTATTTGGGGTTGTTACAAATTTGTATTATTATTTGTTTTTATGTTTTTAATAGAAGTCTCCTATGCTTATCAAGCCTGCTTTTATTAGACAGACAGACAGATCAGGTCTCTCTGCCTAAAGGAGTTCTGCTTGTTATGAAAGCAGAGAGGTGTGAATATATGACATGAGACATTCTCGTTGTTGTTTTGCTCATTTATGTCATATCTCCCTGTGATTTTCATTACTAAAGTATAAGGACCTCTTTCTCTTATACAATTTGATAATCAATTTGCACTCATTTTGAAATAAATATGAGTAGTGTTTGTCTGTGCAAAACATGTCACTACGTGGTTGCATGGGCATTGCTAATATGGTTACAAGTGTTTTTTTTTAGTGCATTATGGTTGCTAGGGTGATTTAGCTGGTTTTTAAGATGAGTAAGATTCTGAGTGGTTAAGCATGTTGCATGTTGTTCTGGATGGTTGCATACGGCTCTATACTGTATGACTATGTTCCCTCTTTCAGTGTAAGTCTATGTATTATTATTAGTAGTAGTAAGTAGTAGGTAGTAGTTGTTGTAGTACTACTGGTAGTATTAGTATTCATTCTTTCTTTTTTTTTTTTGGAAAGTATTATTTTTGTTTGTAAACTTTTATTCAGCAAGGATGCATTAAATTGATCAAAAGTGACAGTAAGGACATATATAACCTTACAAATATTTCTGTTTCAAATAAATGTTGTTCTTTTCATTCATCAAATAATCCAGAAAAATAAAATGTATCACGGTTTCCACAACCACTGTCATGCTTTGCTTACGGGAAGAATGAGGAGACGTGGAGATTTCACAAAACGAGAGTCTTTAATAATCCAACAGGGAGATACAGAGCACAAGGAAGACATTCACAACAAGGACACCCCACAAAGGAAGACTGAACAAACAGGAACTTAAATACAAGTGATAATTACTTAACACAGGTGCACAGAATGACTAATTAACTAAACGAGGACAGGAACATGACCAAACAAGGGAACACAGGAACAGAAACAGGGCAAAACCTAACAAAACAGGTCCATGATCCTGAAAACCATATTAATCAGCACAACTTTTTTCAACATTGCTGATAACAAAACATGTGAAATTAGCATATTAGAATGATTTCTGAAGGATCATGTGACACTGAAGAATGGAGTAATGATGCTGAAAATTCAGCTTTGCATCACAGGAAAACAGTTATTTTAAATTTGGGCCTTGGTGAGCAGAAGAGAGTTTTCAAGAAAGAGAGAGAATGAATGAATGAATGAATAGTTTACCATAGAATAGAATGTGCCATAATTGAATAGCTTTAGTATGAGGACTTGTAATATTATATTAAGTAATAATACTAAATTAACTTAATTATCTTTCTTTGTTTTATATTTTTAGGAACGGTAAGTCCTGCTTGCATGTGGAAAACCAATACGATCTCACAAGAAAACATGTCTATTTTATAAGGTGGCAATTTTTAGGAATTTGTACAATGTGAATGGTATGAAACCATACAATTTTAATAAAAAAAAATTATAACACTTTAGAGTAGGGAAGTCTATTCACTACTAACTGATTGCTTATTAGCATGCATATTGGCTGTTTATTAGTACTTACAAAGCACACATTAATGCCTGATTCTGCGTGACCATATTCTGGATCCCTTAACCCTATCAATACCTAAACATAACTACCTTACTTACTATCAATATGCATTAATTAGGAGTTTATTGAAAAAAATGTCTTAGTTAATAATGAACCTGTGTTTCCTAAACTAAAGTGTTACCTAAAAAGTATGTATGAAGGTCCACCCCAACCTCACCTCTAAACCTCCACTGGAGTGTAAGTGGATCGTACAAAAATGTACAAATGAGATTGTATGAATTCATATAAATTAGCTACCAGTTCACCAAAATGTAAACTAGTTATATAATTGCCAAGAAATTATGTTTGGAAAACACTCTGCCAAGATGTTGAACTTCCCCAGTATTTGCTAAAGACTTCTCCATGGTTTCAACAGCATTGCTAGGGTGTAGTTGCTAAGGTATTTCGATGGTTTTTAAGCCATTGCTTACGCTCCGAGTAAAGAGAGCCCACTCAAACACCTCTATGATATCTTCTTCAAACCCTTTTTTTTTCACGTTTTATCACCCACCAGGTGAAAATCAAGCCTCTCCTAAATCCCTCAAACTGCATTCCTCTCCTCAATAAGCTGCATGATTAAAAGTATCAGATTCATGACAAATTTTGCAGGAGTAGTTGCATGCCAAAGGTCAGGGTTGCTAAGTATGAGCAATAATGCTTCTGTTTCATTGAACTGACACTTTAAAGTGCTAAATTCAACATTGTTTTGAAGCGTTGTTTTTACAGATATCTTAATCTGTCGCCATCTGGCAAATTTCCCCGGGTGATTATTTTCTGGAGCAGGGGACTCAGGTATTTTGACTGCTTTTAGAGCGATTAATCCCACAATGCTAATTCTGTTGAAGCAGTGCTTGCGATTTTCTCTAAAATGGTGGATTAAGCACTTTAGCGTCCGAGAGTGAGGCGAAGCAGATGCTTTTGTAAACAATATTACCCTCTTCTCCCTCCAAAGTGGAAATCAACAGTGTGGGGATGTCACCGGTTTGGAGATAAGCCATAACAAATGGAGGCCTCTTTTATAGTGGTGCTCTGGCAAGCAGGCCATAATGCCATATTTTTTTCTTTGCTGGTGCTCGACTTATCCAGTCCTTTTGGTGACAGATGTTCCCCGTCAGTTGGGAGAAAGTCAGGAAGACGTGTCAGCCTGGTGTAAAATTGGGCCTGTATGTATGCGCGGGTGCCCGTGACACTTTAATAACATGCTAAGTGGTGTACAGCATACGAGAGAGTTGTTTTTATGTCTCAGAGTGGATTAACTGTTCTTTGAGGACGGACTTTTGGAGATATTTTGCTTGCGTCTTTTGTTTGCTTGAATTCCACGCTTGTTGAATGGGCAGCCTCGAGATCCTTCTCGACACTTTGACGAAAGTGGCCAGTGAATTAACAGACCCTGAATTTCATATCAGCACCCTATAGACCTTTTTCTTCGCTTCTCCATGGAGGGCGCCATAGCGGCGAGTGACTTACTGTAGGATGCTTCGAACTTCCGTTTAGTAATTGTCATAAGTTAGCGGTAATGGTGAATCGTGGAGGCTCTGGGAAATGTTGTGCTGTTAAAGGCTGTCACAACAGCTACAGAAAGCTCAAAATGTTTCTTGATCAAGAGTGTTATGAACACAAGCCAACAATAAGAGCAGAATATAAATGCCCAAGACCTTTTAAATTGCACAAGATGCCATCCGACGACGATGGTAAAAGACAATGGCTCGAAGCACTTAATTTGAAATGTCCGCCCCGTAACGTCCATGTATGCTCATTCCACTTTGTGGACAGACAACCAACGACAGAAAATCCATATCCCGAACTTTGGCTTGGATATGATCGTCCATTAAGAAAGACGAGAAGACGACGAACGTGTCCGGACGAAGGTGAGATTATTCACTAACGTTACGTTATTTACACGGCTAACGTGCTATTAGGTTTGCACAATTAAATGAAATGCAGCTTATGATACAGTCTTTTCAGTATGTCTGGACGACAAAGTTCTTATGATGTGTGCTTAAACATCTTTAAGAAACGAGCATTTCATTCAGCATTTAAGTATATCTATTAAGTATAATATATATATATATAAACAAAATGTTGTTGCAGTATTTTGACTGTGATTCAAATAGGATAATCACAAGTGAAGTCTGATTTATTTAACATCTGTATAGAATCGGCTCTTTAAGTTAATTATTCTGACTCGTGTGTTATGTTGGTTTTATTCAGCGTGATTAATCTTTTATACGAGTCTGACTTTAATTCAAATTTGAACACTCCACTTTTAGAGTGCCAACGTTAAATCCAAGATTCTTTGTTTTTACTCTGTTTTTACTCGTTCCCCTTTAGTCAAAGAGGTCTGAGTTTGTTCTTGTAAAGTGTTTACCCAAGTGTGCACACTCTCTTAAATATTGACTAAATATTTTGGCAGCAGAGTGTGGTCTGTCTGATCATTTTACCAGCTGCAACAGTATAGGACCTTAAGGCCTGGTTTTACAGACAGGGCTTAGACTAAGCCAGGTTTAGGCCACAGTTCAATTTATTTTTCATAATCGTGCCTTAGAAAACACATTACTGGTGAGCATCTTGAGACAAAACAAAGGCACTGATATATTTTAAGATCAGTCAGTGCAAGTTTCTTTCAGTTGACACAGCTCAGACTAACATTTTAGTCTGGGACTAGGCTTAAGCCTTGTCTGTGAAACTGGTGGGTAAATGTTCACCATATTGCAGCTCAAATCACAACATTTAACAAAATAATACCTAAAAGTATTTGTTCATTAACTCATTTTGGTTTACAAAATGTGGAAAGTCAGCATTCTGTCTTTCATACAGTGCCAATTAAAAGTGTATTAGTGCTAAAGTAAATTTAAAAAATAAAATGTTCCTGTGGCTCAGTGGTAGAGCATTGCGTTAGCAGCGCAAAAGGTTGTGGGTTCGGTCCCAGGGAACACACATACTGGTAAAAAATGTATAGCCTGAATTTGGATAAAAGCGTCTGCAAAATGCATTAATTTAATTTTAATTTAAACTAAAATTCTAATTTTAAAAATTAGTTTATTAATTTTTAGTAATTAACAATTTTCAAAAAAAAATAAAAAAATCAAATATAAAAATTACCCTTTTTGAAATAGAAACTCGCCCTGTACCATATAATAACCCAGCTAATTTTAGATGCTTCACTGTATAATGCCTTGTCTGTATTTACAGGAGCTGGTGTTTACCAAGAGCATCCTGGAATGGACGAACTGAGACCTGTAGAAGAGAGTCTTGCATCTGTCCCCAGTCCCAAGCAATCAGATGTTGATGACCACAGCTGTACATCTAAAAATGTTGCCTCTGTTGGAACACAGTGGGAAGACCACATCTTCGAGGAGCATTGTTACATCAAGAGACAACACATTGTAACTTATGTAAACCAGTCAACGCAGTGCGATACATTCAAGCCTCCTACTCTGATGAACGACTATGACTCAAATCTGTACACCGGGCTCCCTCTCCACACATTTCATACCCTTGTAGCTGTTTTGCGTCCCCATGAGAATCTGGCTTACCAGACCGAAATTGAACAGCAAATCTTGCTCACACTAATGAAGCTGAAATTAAACCTATTAATAGAAGATCTAGCAATTCGATTCCGTATATCAGTGAGTAAAGTGAGCAGGATAATTTCTTTTTGGATTGACACCATGGCTGCAGTCTTGAAGGATCTGATACCATGGCTCCCCAAAGAAACCATCAGGGCCACAACACCAGAGGCATACAAGCAACATTATCCCAATGTTACCTGTATCTTAGACTGCAGTGAAAGTGAAGTCCAAAGACCAGGGAACCTAGACTCAAGGTCTGAATCGTACAGCCACTACTATGCTTGCAACACTATCAAGTATTTAGTGGCTATTGCACCATGTGGTCTAGTAATGTTTATATCTGCAGCATATGGGGGTCGCTGTAGTGACAAATTTATCACATGTGATTCTGGCATTCTTGAATATCTCCATCCAGGAGATGAAGTGATGGTGGACAGGGGTTTTTTGATTAGAGACTTGTTGTTTGAAAGACAAGTCAATATGATAATTCCTCACTTCGCCAACAAAACGCAGCTGACAGAAGAAAAAGTCACATGTAGCCGCAGGATTGCAAATGTAAGGATACATGTTGAACGTGCAATTAGGAGACTGAAAGTATACAAGGTGTTATCACAAACCTTGCCTATCACCCTTATGCCAAAGATAGATAAAATTCTGCGTATATGTGCAGCTTTAGTGAATTTGTGTGGTGATCTGATCCGTGAAGCAGATAATTAAGTTATTTTAAAAATTAAATTTTGTCTTCAGTTACTCACCCTCATGTTGGTCCAAACCTGTATGAGGTTTTGTTTTCTTCTATTGAACACAAAAGATTATTTATTTTGGAGAATGTTGGTAACCAGACAGTTGACAGTAACCATTGAAAAAAAAGAAAAGACTATGGAATCATTGGTTACCATCAACTGTCTGGTTACTAACATTCTCCAAAATAAATAATCTTTTGTGTTCAATAGAAGAAAAAAACTCATACAGGTTTGGACTGACATGAGGGTGAGTAAATGATGACAATTTTCATTTTTGGATGAACTTTTCATTTAATGCTCAGACTGCTGCATTAGTCATGTACATATGTATATATGTTTAATAACAATACTTGACATTTGTAATTCTAAAAAAATCCATCTCACTATGTTTTCTATTTCCTTGTACTATGTACATATATACACTTTAATCTAACTAAAAAAAAACATACAAGACTTTCCAAGTGCAAATCCTGTAAACAAGGAAATATCAAATACATTCAAAATTTTGAAAACTTGCCTTGACACAATAAAAACTTTTCCCCCTTCATGTCAGCATCTGTACACTGTTTTTCAAACTCTTAATCTTTGTTTACCAGTTGACTATATGTAAGTATTTGTCATTCAGTTTGAATCGTCCAGCAATGAATTCATCTACTACTCTAGGAAGCATCACTGAGAAGTAAAAGCCTCTAAGACGAGTAACCTGGTCTGTTAAATACTCTGCATCGTATGGTACATTTATCAGAATGTGTTCCTTTGGAGACCAGACAAGTAGTGTTGCCATTCTCAGCCCAGTACAAAACATGCCTAATTGTATCTGTCTGTAGTAGCCCCTGACTCCGTTCCTCTGTAATTCAGGCTTCCCATCAACCACTTTGATGTCACTATTATTTATAGTGAAATGGTCTGCTAGAGAGGTGGTGGTGTTCTTGGGAACAGGGCACTTTATTTCCAGAAGTTCCATACCATTTATTATGCCATCGGGGCTTGCAGACAGCCATGGCTCTGTCAGGCTGACCCTGATACCTGAGTGGGAGACCTGTAGACCTTTTTCTACAAGAAGGCTTCGAGCTATTGCCTCTTTCTCACTTCCATACTTTGTAGCCGCATTACCTCGAAAGGTAGGAAAGAGATGCTCTCTCATGAATTTATCAGGATTTGTTGTTGCTCGTACTGGTACACCTTTAGCTGAACTAGCAGTGATCCTTAGCTGTCTTGCACTATGCCAAACCTCTGACAAACTCTGATTTTGTGTTTGAATCTCCAATTCAGCTGCCTGGTCACTGTTCAGTTCTATGTGTTTGCTGTAAAATGCTTTACATTTACTGCAAGTCAAAGTCTCTCCATGTGGCTGGTGGAGTTCTAAGCTGTCAGTGTCATCTGCTTGCACTGATACATTGGCATTGTAGCATTTTTCCAAAAGACTTTTTTAATTCAAAAAGTGGTTTTGTGTCTGAAGAATTGACTCTCTCCCTGAAGTCTTGATGTGTGTCATACATAGCTTGGTGTAGATGGTAGCCTTTCTCCCTCCCTTGTTGATGACGCACCATATACATCATCAGCTTTGTGACGTCTAAATGTCATCTGACTAATTATTTTCTGTTCAAGGTTTCTTCTGGTTCCTGCATTCCATCTACACTGCTCATCAGTGCAAGATAGCCCTGTCATACCACTGGCCACTGCATTTTGCACCTTTCAAAAATCAGAACATACTGTTCACTTTATTTACTTTATTAGTAAACAGTACATCATCATTAACACTTTTTTAGAGCTAAACAATTTTGTTATAACTGAAATTTATAATTGGTTAAATATTGCTGTAAAAA